AAAAAAAAAAAAAAAAAAAAAAAAGAAACAGTACAACAAAAGGCACTGTACGTGGCATCTTTGGGAGTCATCTTTGTGTATTGCGTTAGAGGATGTCCCTCTGGCTTGCATCTTTGGTTGGGGGGCAATAGTGGGGAACAGAACGAAAGCGAAGTAGAAGGCAGCTTTCCCAGCTTATATTGGGTTGTCAGAAAAGTCATGACACATTTTTGCAACAAAAAACATAGAAAAAAATACGTCATGACTTTTCCGACAACCCAATAGATGAGGAAACTGAAGCTGACAGAGCTTATGTGATACAGTCACACAGTTAGGACGTGAAGGAGATGGATTTGAACCCAGGCTTTTCTGATCCCCAAGGGAAGACGCACTGCTCCCCACACACAGAGGAGAGGCCAAACCAGAAGGAGTGACTTCCAGAAAGGGCCAAGACTGGGAACTGAACCTAAATGGCTTCAGAGAAAACGCAGTTTGGACTTGCTGTTCTGACCAATTAGTGCTGATGCGGCAGGTTTCTTTAGAGGGTAAAGTATGGCGGCCGTCATGAGCCTTCATTCCAGGGTCTGATTTGGACTGAGAAGGGAGAGCCCCAGCTGGGAGGAGGACAGCCAGGTCCTGGCTGATGGAGCTGGCTGGGCTCCGAGGGCACCTGTGCAGTTTTAACAGAGATGCTTTAAAACAAGTCAATGACTTCTTTCCATACTGGAGACTTTGCATTTGTCCAGCCAGGCCCTTTCATCCAAGAAGGCTTAGTGCGTCCCACGTGACTGAGTGGCTGCAGGAGAGAGAGGAAAGGAGCACAAGGTTGGACACTGGCTCAGTCACGGGGAGATCCTGGGAAAGCCATTTCTTCTGCCCAAGTATCAGATGCCTTTTGTTCACTAGAGGAAGAAGCTTAGTGGTTCTAACCCAGGGAGGGCACAGTGGAGTCTCCGGGGACTTGTTAAACTGATGACCCATCTTCCCATCTGCAGGGTACGGAATGCTGACGGCAGTGGGCTGCGTGAGGGAGGTGAAGGCCTCTCTGGATATTGGGTTCCCATGGTACCATGGCAGAAGGTGAAGGGCCCTAAACATTTGCCTTATCAAATCAGCAAGGAAGCATCACTCATTCAAACGCGTTATTTCTTAAAACAAAACAACGCAAAAAGTATGGTGTAGAGGCTTGACCACTGCATTGTACACCTGAAGCTGAAGCTGAATAATATTGTATGTCAACTATAATATATATATATATATATATATATATATATATATATATAGTCATGGAATATGGAGTATAGTGTGGGGAATTGAGTCAATGGAATTATAATAGATATATACCCTGTCAGAGGGACAATAGATTGGGGGGGGGTTATCACTTTGTGAGGGGTGAAATGTATAACTATTACCTTGTTTTGCACACCTGAAACTAATAAAAAAAAAAGTACAAATGCCCCTCAACCATCTTTGGACAAAGGTTTTCGAGTTTTCTCATTAAGGTTGCAGCTTGCCCAGGAAGTTACCACCAACACAGAACAAGGACTCTGGCTCTGACAGGGGACCTAAGAAGACCCGGGGTTGACCGTCCCAATACCGACCCATGGTACTAGAGAAACACATGGGAGGCATGGTCCTCACTTTTGAGCAGCCTAGTACTGAACCCACTTCCAGTGCTGGGGAATCCTCTTCTGTGTGAGTCTCAGGGTGAGGGTGACGGTGAGGCTATACTACAATAGCCAAAAAAGCCAGTGACCTGTTCTCCCTGGGCTGCCTGGCCCCCTAAGTGACAGAAACCTAATCTCAGCCAGTGACAGCCTCCTGCCCGATTCTACAGCAAGAGGCTGAGAGAAGTCAAGGACAGCTGTGTCCAGGGCACCACGCCAGGTTCTTGCTATGGCCTGAGGGAGCTTGATCCTAGCACTCGGGTTTCTTGACGCCTCTCATATCCCCAGTCTGGTTCTCCAGCCTTCCTGGCCATTCTGAGAGCTACCAGATAGCCTTCTAATCCATCTGGTTCTGCCCAGAGGAGACAGCCACTCCCCTCTGCTTACATCTACGATCTCAGCCTGGAAACACTCCGCAGAGCAATGATTTAATCCTTTATTGGGGGACTTAGGTGTTTCACACGTATTCCGCTATTTAAAAATGTCAGGAAAGTGGGTTTGCTATATAATTCATGCAAGCTTCTCATCCAGCCTGAGAAGGGCCTGTGGGGGTGGTGGCTCACAGTAGTGGAGCTGATTCTGCTGTCTTGGTTTGCCCTGGGGGACTTTCTAGCCTCAGTTGCTGGCAACTTTCCCTGAAAAGTAAGAAGGGTTGGGTTGAACAGAATAGGAAATTCAACACATTACTGTTACTGAATGCAGTCCCGTAGGTCTCACCTGGATTCTCAGGTGTGGATCTCAACAGAGCTCGCTAGGTAAGCTTGGTGTCACATGCAAATACCCTACCTGGGAAGTACCCCCAGATCTATTTACTAGTCAACAGGGCAAATGTCTTCAGGCATATCTCTAGGTATGCATCCACAGGTTCTGTAAAGCACTCCTCATTCCATGGCATAAAAATAAAGATACAGAAAGTCCCAGGAAAATTATTTGATTTCCCTGTCTGTTAAACTTACCGCCATGTACGCTTGCTGTGGTGAAAAATCTGATTGTTTCCTCTTCTCACCCACACCCTGTTCAATACCAGCCGCAAGTACATTTCCTATTCACTCCAAGGCCATAAAAATTTGGTGCCTAATCTAAAATCTTGGGACATTTTGTCTGATTTAAATTTGGTGGCTACCCTCTATGGAAATTTCCCCTCAGATGGACGGTTGACAGAGAGCCAGACATTCAGAAGAACCACACAGGGAAGTACGTGTTTGTTCTAAAAAAGCAAAGCTGCCTACTCAGAAAAGTTGTTTTTTTTTTCCTGCCAGGAAAGTTGAGAACAGATTGTAGAACTTCATTTGAGCTCATGGATTGAAAAGACAAAGTCACGGAAAGGAGGGAGAAAGGGGTACTGCGGGGTTACAATGGGTGTTACATTTTTTTCATGGGAGTACTGAAAAAATAATCAGTTGAAATGAGGGCTTCTTGCAAAGAACTCTTGATAATGAAAATATCAACACGGTGCTCAAAATGGAACAGTCATGAATGGAAATGGTATTTTCGGGGGCGTGTAGATGACTCAGGATCCGACAATGGAATGTTCAGCAACGGCTTCCTGGACCCCACAGCTTTAGTGCCCCGAACAAAGGCAATGTTCCCAGTGATATAGATACACACACACATATATTTCAGAAGTTTTTTTTTTTCAACTACACAAGGGATTCCACCTGTAGGAAATCTGTTCATTACTTCCATTAGCTCTTACCTGGGGACACTGGTGTCTACCAGAACATTCCATACCTCTCACGTGGGGCATGTATTTCATTCTATGAAACTTTTTAACCACAGCTATGACAGTACACCGTGAATCACCATTCTACTCACCTCCCAGGTGAAGGTGAGAATTAGCAGTGAAATGGCCCAAAGGCAGGGAGGAAAAGGCAAAAGTCAACCTGAAATATTTGATTTGCCAGAAAAACTGAACCTCGGTACCAAAGGACTCCAGCGTCCTTTCGCTTCGTCCCATTCAGTTTCTGTTAGTAAAATTACTGCTTGGAGAATCTCTCAGGATGAATGGAGGGGGAAAGCTATACCTCTGACAGTCTGACGGTCCTTCCCGGCACTGAGTCTGGAACGCCCAGGCCCAGGCATAGCTTTAGTTCCCCAGGCTCACATTCGTTCTGACCCAGCTGATGGTCTCGTCTCTTGCTCACCATGAACAGGAACAGACTGAGATTTCACTAAGGTCCCCAGAGACTTATTTTCTATATAAACCCTTCCCAACCAGGGGCTTCTAGGATCTCATCCTAACATTTACAACATGTGGTGTCTCCACTGTGTTCAATCACAGTGAACAAATCTTTTCTTTGTAATAATCTTAATGAACGCATCACTTCTGTAAATTTGTCATAGCAACACCGACTCTTAAAAGAGAGGGGAGGGCCGGCCGAGTGGCTCAGTTGGTTAAGAGCTCGCTCAAGAGTTTGAGCTCTGAGAAACAGCGGTTCGAGTCCAGCCTGAGCTGAGCAGCCGCTGAGCTGCCAATAGGTGGCAGGATGGCTCAGCTAAAGAAAAAAAAAAAAGAGAGAGGGGAAAGTCTTCTAAAGAGACAGATTCCAGGAAAGGAGATGCAAAAAGGGAGCATCCTTGCACAGCCCATTGGCAAAACCAGTCCACAGGCTGCTGCCTCCCGTTCCGTTTGCTTAGGGTCTGAGTGTGGGCGTCAAAGGATGAGCCTCCCCTCCCCACCCCTGCAAAACAATAAAAGGCCGTATAATTCCAGGGCCACGCTTTCCCTCCAGCTCTCTCTCATCCACGTCTCCTAACTTCTGGTCTCTGAGGCCTGCATGTCAACTGCACTTTATGGAGAACCAGCAGGGTAGGTAGAGAATGAAAGAGAAGGTTCTAGGACTTAGCAATTTGGATGTGACCTTTTTAAGTTATTCAAGAAACTTGTTTTTATCCCGTGTTTATCCATGGAGCAATTTTATTGGGAAGGCAAATGAGGTTTCGGGGAAAGGTCTGAGGAAGATAAAAATAGTCTTGGCTTCGGAGTGGAAATCCAAGCCCTGTCAAGGGTACTTCCAGACTATTTTTCCTTTGGCTGGTCATAGCAGGGAGCTTTCACATAATGATGGCATTCTAAAAAACAACGCTATCGCAACAAGAGCAGACCACAGACGTTCTCCATGGGGGCCTGGAAGCCACGGCAGGCATGGTCTTGGGCCTACCACAAAGCCTACCTCCTGGCTCAGACAGCATCTTTACCCTCACATTCCAGCACCGAGTCACCCAGATCCCCTCACCCTCTGAGGAGGGCTGTCCCAGGGATGGCTGACTCACCGACATCTCTTCTGGGTTCCCATTGGCGATCTCCACCACTCTGAGGGCAGGGTCCACCTTCACTTTGGCGCGGGTCATGAACTGAATGACAGATGAACTGTCCTGTGGAGGAAACAACGCAACTCACTGGAAGATCTTTCAGTGACAATGGCTGGGCCTTGACAGAGCCTGGGCACCAGGCAGCACTGAAATTCCAAGATTCCATGCAGACCAGACAAAAATTTTATCACTGAGCTACATGCCTCTCCATCCCGGGCAACCACATAAACATCTATTGTCTCTCTCTTGAGAATTCTTTCATATCATGGTGGACGCTGCAAAACTACAGAGTTTTGCCACTCATCCACAAATGCAAGTTTGTGTGCTGTGGTTTCCAAGTGGAAAGAGCCAGATATTTGGATATTGATATTGACATATCCACAAAGAGTAGAGAATAAATAAAGCTGTTTAATTGTGTAAAACAAATCCAGGCCTGGCATTCCACAGAAGGCATCTGATTTACATTTCTTAAGCATCTTCCTGCCCTGACCACAATCCTCAAACCCTTCCCATGAATTACTTTTAACTCTTTGCTCTTAAATGAAGCTGTTTTGGGTTCAAAGCCACTTCACATGGAAAAAGGGTACCTGATGGAGAGAAGAGAAAGCGGGAAGCATCTGGCTTACAAATTAGGCAACGGCCTGAAGAGAAAGGGACCTGGGGTGGGCACCGGCACCTCTAAGACTCAGGAAGAGCTCCCTAGCCAGATGCAGTCGGAAGCCTTGGTGTGGGCTCAGAGTCAAAGCCACTGATCCAGAAAATGAGAAAATGGCTCCGAGGCAGGGATGGAGAAGGAATTTGGAAAAAGACAGGGGTTGGCAAAACTATGGCTTAGGGGTGGGCCAGAACCTCGAGCCAGTGGTACAGACGGTGGAGTGGAGAGGTAGCCTGGCTTCCATCGTGGAAACAGATGGCAGGCAACTGGGGTGTTCGGCATCCCACCTGTGGGGGTGGCTGAGGCTCTGCCAGCAAGGTGTCTTGTAGTGTACCCACCCACATCTACTTGGCTTGGTTGCCATGCAAGGAAGTACACATCAGATGCCAGCTCTGACCCACTTCTGGTTAAACCTACCCTGCAAATGAAAGTGAAAAGGATAACTATTGCATTGTTCTGTACACCTGAAACTAACAATAAAAAAAAAAGAAAAAGAAAAGAAAGTGAGGCCTCTGCCTATAGGAAAGTCTCAAGGGGGCCCTCAGCTCATCTGATAAAAAAGCCACAGAGACCTCCCTGGGACGACACACAGGATACCACTCTGTGTACTTCACCTGGGAATTATGCACTGATTACTGTTCTTTTTAAACACGGCAATAAAACATACTTTAAATGCTTCTGGGAAGCTTGTCACTCAAAGGAACTGCTTCTGTTAGCTCACATTCAGCAGTAAGTAATTCTGGATGCGAATAATCTCTTACCTGTTTAACAGTTTTATACGTTTGTGCTTTTATGTGTCAGGGTATACTGTATTTTCAATCTTGGACAATAATAATTATCTTCACCATCTTAGATATTAATAATGACAGTAATAACAGTAATAATGATGCGACTTGTCAAAGGTAAAGGCTGAGCAGGTGGAGCCTGCCACAGGACAGGCCCCAGTGGTTGTGGAAGAATACTTTCAAAGAAATCTAAATCCTCTGATAATGAATTAAAAAAAAATCGCATCCTACATTTCAAATGAAAACTTGTTAAGGTCAAAACAATAAAACCTCAAATTCCCTTGTCTGGGGCCAGACCTTGAGGTCAAAGGAAAATAAACACACTGTAGGCCCAGGCAAACCACAAGGCTGGCGCTGTTCCACGTCCTTAGGGAGGCTGGGGTGGGGGGGCGCTCCTGGAGCCATCTCAAGCTACATGCCTCATGGGAGGTCGTGGCTGGCTTTAGGGGACCGACACTCGGCATTTCAAACTCCCCGAGCAGCTGTGGCCCCATCTGGCTTCCATGCCACCCTTGTTCTGCACCTGGAATTTCTGCTGGTTTCTGCTGAAAGGGCACTTTCAGGGCAAAGACCCTTCAACACCCACACAAGACACCCCATGGTGTTCTGCTTTCTTAGGGTGCCGACTGCGCTGGATGGGCTGTAAGGACAGCAGACAGTGGGACACATTCCTTGGCAAAGAGTCACCATTGATGAGAGAGAGAGAGAGAGAGAGAGAGAGAGAGAGAGAGAGAGGCAGGCCACAGAGCTGTGTACAAGCAAGGCTTGAGGCCTTGCAATTAAATTAAGCACAGACCACTGAAGTGCAAGCAGCAACCTTCTGGGTTGAGGGTGAAGGAGACATTGGAGTGGTTTCCCGCCATCAGTCCCATTATCAGGACTCTGTCGACCGTGCTACGTGTGGCATGGGGAATAAAAAGGTCACTAGGGCCATGTGTCAAGAAGATGAACATGGTGGGTAAGTATACAGAACCACAGTCTGTCAACCTGACTGGGGACCCATGCCAGGAAGGCACTTCCTAGGATGCGGGGCTTCCAGGCTCCCTCCTGGAATTGCAGGGTGGCTAGTGGTGCTCTAATTCCTGCCCGGGCCTCTCACAACGCTGTCCGTTTTAAAGAGAGAGCTACAACAGGGAAGCTCTGTGGTGTGAGCTCAGCTCGCCCCAAACCAGTTTCCCTCCCAAGAAAACCAGGGAAAGCAGAGCGATGCACAGCTCTCACGGGTGTGTGGGGGCTGCACGGGCGACACACGGAAAGTAGGCAAACATCCCGTATTCCCAGAGCCCGTGACTCTCAGGTCAGCATGCTATTGCCATGCCTAATTAAAAAAAATAACACTGGAATGACTTTTCTAAGGATATTCATTCATACATTGACAGGTTATTATAGGCTGACACATTTAGTTTTTCCAAAAGAAAGTAAATAAGAGTCTTTGTGGCATATTTTGTTGTAGCTTCACATGTGATTATTGTTAAAGCATCTTGTTGGTTGGGCTTTTATACTCAGCAGCTTTTATGTCAAAATAAATCACAGTGAATTTGTATGATTTTTTTAAGGGCCACCAATTCACTGACGGAGGTATGATTTTATGAACCATTTTTGATAAACTCGTAATAGCAAAGTGAGGTGAGGTTCAAAAGTTGGACTTGTCTGAAACAAAATGTCATCTAAACAAGAGGTCAGTAAACTACAAACCATGGGTCAAACCAGCCTTTTGCCTGTTGTTGTAAATAAAGTTTTATTGGAACACAGCCACACCCACTTGTTGGGGTATTGTCCATGGCTGCTTTCACAATACAGTGGCAGAGCTGAGCAGTGGCAAGAGACTGTATGGCCCTTAAAGCCTAAAATATTGACTACTGGCCCTTTACAGAAAAGGTTTGTCAACCCCTGATCTAAAACGTGGTCCCAGACCAGTGGTACTGGCGTCACCTGGGAATTTGTCAGAAATACAGACTCTCAGACTCCAGTCCCAGGAATGTGCAGTTTAAACAAGGTCTCCAGGTGATTCTGATGCAAGCTCAAGTCTGAGAAAAACGTGCAAACAAACCAGCTCGTGAAAATGAAGGTGCTGATGAAGCAGGTATGGGGGAGTTCAAAATTCTGCATTTCTAACAAGCTCCCAGGTGAGGCTAAGGCTGCTGGACCTCGGACCACACTGAGTAGCAAGGGTCTGGTATGTCCCCTGGCATCCTCCAGCAGCAGAACTACCAGTGGTACATGCCAGGAAAGTTTTAAGATGGGCAGGCAGAGTTTCATGAGGAAACCAATTCAAATGCTTTTAAATGAACCCCGAGCGTGTAGTTCCTCAGGCCTTACCTTCTTCAGTATTTCCGTGTTCAGCAGCATGTAAATGTCTATAGTACGACTCTCTTCTTTAGCTAGTGCACTCAGGTTACAATGCATTGTTAGGCAAGAAATTCCTGGTTTTTCACAGTCCTGAGAAGAAAATCGAAGAACTGTCAAACGGTATTAAGAACAAGGACAGATGCACAGTAAGTTATGGAGCAAAAGGCTCCATGTGCTTCTCCGTTCTGGTGACAAAGACAACTCCAGGCAGAATTCCACGGGAAGACGCCATCATTCCTTCTTGCCACCAGAGGGCAATGGAGGGATTTCCTGCCTAGCAGGCACTCGAGCAGGCCTTCAAGTCAAGCAACTGGGAGAAAGCAGCTCATCGGTTATCCTACCAAAAGATTGGATTTTGCAAGGGGAAATAACTGTATTTAAAAAGAAACACATTTATGCATTCCGAAAGCATTTTTCTCATGAGTCTTGAACACAAGATGTATTTCCTACATTATGTAATTTCTGCCTGTGCAGTGGCAAATGCACTTTCATGCCCATTTTTCAGGTAGGGCAAATTTGAGGGCCAAGAAGTCAAATGACTCAAGAAAACACAGGCGTAAAGAAAAACACATGTTGGACCAAGAAAGTACCTGAATTACCAATAGAAACCTAAATTCCAAGTTGAAGTTACAAAAGAAGAATGCTTCTCTTTTGTATTTTAGGATCCAAAATGTCCACATGTACCTTCACGATGTTTCATAGGTGGGGTAATGTTACACAGTTGTATCTGTCCAACAACCAGACATCACTACATCCAACGATTCTAAGAGCTTTTAAAAAGAGTTGTATCATCAGCACTATGTAAGTAAAAAAGCCCAACATTCCAAGTGGCAAACAATCCTACTTCTATAGGGAAAATATGAGTAAGATGTGCCTACGCTGCAATAAGGAGCTTAGGAGATGGAACCAAAGATACGGGGAAAGGAAGTATTGGAAAAGCATATGATTCCACCTTCAATATCTTCACTTTCAAAAAAAAAATGGGGCATGACTTACACAGCAAACAGAATAAATCTGATGGGTCCATCTTGATACATTTTTACATATGTTTATACCCAGGTCAAGATGCAGAACATTTCTAGTACCTAAGCAGGTTCTCTCATGCTCTCTGTAGTTGATATTCCTCCCAAAGTAACCACTACCTGGCCTCCATCTCCATTGATGGTTTTACTATTGCTGAACTTGATGTAAGTGAACTATTACAATATGTGTCCTTTTGTCTCTAGCTTCTTTCACATAAATATCATGTCTATGAGATTCATTCGTGTTGTTGTGCGCAGCAGTAGTTTCCTATTGCTCTGTAACATTCCAGTGTATGGCGACACCACAGTTCTTTACTCACTTTCCTGTGGATGGATATTTGGATTGTTTCCACCTTTTGGCATAGTAAGATGGTTGTGGTTATGGTCCATATCTTTTGGGAGACACAAGAACTCATTTCTCTTGGGGATATCCCTGGGAGTGGGATTCCTGGGTCACAGGGTACAAATACCTTTAGCTTTAATAGATACTGCCCAGCAGTTTTCCAAAGTGGTTGTACAAGAACCATCATCCTTGATTAGACTCCTACTAGTTGGAGGAATGTTTTACTACTTTGTGCTTGGTGGGTTGCAAAGGTTTTCCCTTTGCCGGGCAATGGAACTTGGAATGCCAATTTAACACTTTGACTGAAACCTCAGGCTGAAAAATAGGAGCTGACCACAGTCCTCATGATTTTCTAAGCCAATTGATTAAAACCAGATTTGGGGAATAATAAATGCCAAATAGAAAACTGGCCTCTCATCTCAGACTTGCCTTCTTAGTGAGGACCACCCATGTTGACCCAACCAGTAAGCAAATTCTTACCAAGACTTTTCTTCCAGACTTTGTGAAAAAAGCAAATATAGTATGGAAGATATTTTCTTGTTCTTGAGGGATGATGCAGGGGGTTGGGTTTCTCTGGAAAGAACAGTTTCCCTTCTCTTGGCCCACCTGAAAATGAAAAGAAATCTGTCAGAGTGGTCCACCCAAGAACGGATCATGAGCATTGGAATTCTTTCCTGTAGAGATGGTAGCAGTAGAGCCCAAAGTCAACTTCCCCTTGTCTATTCTCTTCCAAAAAGCTGAAAGGCAGAAGTAGAAGCATCAGCAAGGCGGAACAATAGAAAATACAGATCCTCAGTCCTTAAATAACTGAGATGAGATGGCACACAACATGCAAATGAGATGTGTCTAGGAAACCATAAGACTCAAGAAACAAAATAAACCTACATTTTATAGTTTCCAAAGCACATTTGTCAGCATTCTTGCAACGCTCTGAGATAAGCATTCATGCTCTTTGTCCGGATGAAGAAAATGACACTCAGGCTAAGTCACTTGCCAACAACAATCACAGAGTCCAGAATCCAGATTTTGAACCCAGATCTTCTGAGACCAAACCTTTATGCATGATCTACTGCCAGAGGTGTTCAAGCTGTGTTCCATGAAACCCTTAGGGTGCTGTAAAATCCCATGATAGTCTCTCTACTGAGTAGAAGAGGTATCCAACAGGACTGCTCTGGGCCCCCATCTCTGCTCCAACTAGAGAGCTTCAACCATTTATAATGTGATTTAAAACCAGGGCTCTGTGGGGCAACCCAGTTGGGACCCCCTCTTATTTTAAGAGCTGTTACTTTCTGCTCTAATAAACTGTCTTCTGCTACAAACTTTAAAAAACAAAAAACAAAAAAAACAACAACCAGGTTTCTGCTACAAAAGAAAAAAAAAAAGTTGGGCAGTCACCATACTGAGCCCTACAGGAGCTTTATAAGCCCAGCGAGCTCTTGGTGAGTTTTCTGACAGGAATAGCAATGGTTCTGGGCAACAGCAACATCAAAAGCAAAAGAAACCTAAAGTGACAGTGTATAGTCAGTCTTCCACGCGGATTTCTTTAAGAACAACACTATTTTTAATGCCCAAATGGAGGAACTGTTTAAAAAACAAAGTCATCTTTATATAGCATCATATTACACTGGTTGAAGCTGAAAACTGGGCATGACTTAAGGTCAAGTCACAAAATTAATAATCAGTAATTCATAATTTAGGATTGTGTTTATAATCCCATTTCTAACCAGAAGATCTGTTTAAACTAACTCTCCTATCTTTAAGGCCTTTGAGTAAGATAGAGAACACAGTTTGAATTTATTAAAGAATTTTTCAATTCCTCATTCATGGTAGGGAATAAGGTTTAAATTTTTTACCTAAAGAAATTTCTAACTTAAGCTAACAATGTTAATATTTTAATAATGAACTATAAAACATGACCCCAAAATGTACTAAATTGATCTCTACTGTATCTTTGGTCTGAACATATATGCCAGGATTCACTATACAGTATATACCTGAAAATAAGTAAGATGAAGGTATATTTTGTCCAATTAATTAGAAAATTATTACAAATCTCTTATAGTTTACAACTTGTTATTCTTTAAAATGTTCTCATAATTTGGTATTCTCTCAATTACTTTATTTGAACCATAAAATCTGGGAAGGCATACCAGCCTGAAATGGTCTCAATCATGTTGGTTTGGATGTTCTCAGAGGTCACTAGAGGGCATTAATTGGAAGAAGACAATGAGATTTAACACATATTTGGTGATTATTCCTGGGGTGCATTTGTAAGTTGTGATAAATATTTTAAAGCTCATTTCAGAAAGCAAAACATGTTTCCTATGTAGTTAGGATCATGAGTAATTACTTATAAGACAAATGAGAAATACATCTACTGCAATGTTATACACTCATATGTGGGATATACAACTGAAAGCAGCAAAGGAACAAGAAAAACAAATAAAGAAACAGAAACTCAAACACAAACAATAGTTTAGTGGTTACTAGTGGGTAAGGGGGGTAAGTAGTAAATGAGGGTAAAGGGGGTCAAATATATGGTAATGCAAGGAAAACTGACTCTGGGTGGTGAATACACGATGTGATATATAGGTGATGTATCACAGAATTGTACACTTGAAACCTATGTAACCTTACTAACTGTTGTCACCCCAATAATTTTAATAAAAAAAATTCAGAATCCAACATGGGTTCAAAAAGTTTTGCATTTCAAATAAATTAGACAAATTGAAGATATGTTCAGAAAGCTATTGACTAAAAAGTGGCTTAGTAATGGTATACATTGATCTCAAAAGATGTATATTTGCACAAAATCATTTTGTGGAATGTGTGAATGGGCAGAGTAATGTAAATTAATATATTATTCTCATATAATTTTAAGTACAGTAGTCCTCCTTTATCTGCAGGGGATACATTCCAAGATCCCCAGTGGATGACTAAAATTGCAGATAGCACTGAGAAAACTAAGTTTTTTCCTATACATCCATACTTTTTCACATACGAGATGTGATAAAAAAAATATGGTAAATGTTTAAATTAAAAAATAATTACAGTAAAAGGCACATTTCCATTAACCGCCCTTGCTTCAATCACACTTATCCCATTGTTCTTGCAACGTTCTGAAGCAGTTCTGGAAGTCCTCTTTTGTGAGTGTCTTTAGTTGCACTGTTGTAGCTGCCTCAATGTCCTGACTCAATTCAAAACATTTTTCTTTCATGGTCATTTTGACTTTGGGCAAGAGCCAGAAGTCGCACAGTGCCAGATCCAGTGACTAAGGTGGATGAGGACACACTGTAATGTTTCTTTTTGACAGAAATTGCTGTATACCAGAAGCGATGTGTGACACAGAGCACTGTCATGATTGAGGATGAAGTAAAGCTACTCAAGAAAGAGGACTTCCAGAACTGCTTCAGTAAGTGGCAAAAGCGATGAGATAAGTGTGTTTGAAGCGAGGGTGAGTATTTTGAGGGGGATTAATGGCAATGTGTCTTTTACTGTAATAAAAGGTTTTTAATTTAAACATTCACTGTATTTTTCAATCACACCTCATAAAGGAAGCACATTATAGCTTCTCTTTGGCACATCCAAATTGTCAGCATTACTACTCTTGTACTTTGGGGACACTATTAAGTAAAATAGGGTGACTTGAACACACGCACTGCAATACCGTGACAGTCAACCTCATAACCCAGATGGCTACTAAGTGACTAAGGTGGGAGCATATACAGTGTGGAGATGCTGGACAAAGGAATGATTCACATACCAGGCGGAATGGAGATGGACAGCTCGAGATATCATCATGTTATTCAAAACAGTGTGCAATTTAAAAACATGAATTATTTCTGGATTTTTCCGTTTAATATTTTTGGACCATGGTTGATTGTGGGTAACTGAAACCATGGAAAGTGAAACCGCAGATAAGGGGCTGCTACTGTATTCAACTAGATGATTAGGTTAAATAGATCTAAGTAGATATTTCATTTTACCAACTTTTTTATTGAGGTAAAATTTACACTCACTGACGTGCACAGATCTTAGGGCACAGTTTGATGAATGAAATCACCCACATAACTACCACCCCAATGAAGGTACAGAGCATGTCCATCACTCCAGAAAGTTCCCTCTGGCCCCTTTCCAAAAGCCAATTCCCATCCCCACCTCACAGCCAACCAGAGTTCTGATTCCTATTACGTTGGCCAAAAAACTTTATTAGGGGGATGGGGTTATTTGGGAGTTGCCCTGTATTTAGGCATCTATAGCACATGGCGTGTGGAAACCATTTTGTTCACTGAGCATTTGAGAATTTGAACATGGGCTCATGCTCTTAATTGAATCACTTTTCACTCTGAGGCGTGTGGGTCTCCATGTCCCCGTTTGTCTTCTGGAGTGGACATCTGCTGAAAGGCCACTGGAAAAATGGTCCTTCTGCAGCCCTGGGGTGTTGTACATTCCCCTGCTGAGATGATCAGGCCTGGCCACCCAAACACATTTGGTCTCGGTTTAGAGAAACAGAACCTCTGAGTCTTGCAGGAGGCATCTGTCCTAATTCAAGTCAGCGACGAGGGCAGAATTCCTCCTGGCTCTGCACACTGGCGCTTTGCATTTCTAGGCCAGGAGGGAAAGTATGGGAGCAGGGCCCCAAACCCAGCCAGTTTCACTAATGTGCTTCGGGTGTAAGGCCTGGTGCTGTCATCCCCCACAAAGCCCCCCGCACAGCAGGGCAAGGGGGTGAGAAACAAGCGAAACCTCAGCCCCAACCCAGAGGGGCAGAGACCTGGCTCAGAACGTATTTTCCTCTTTCTCCCGGGAGTCTCTGAGCAGCCTGCGAACAGGGTGATGATGGTGACATGATGTGATTCGGTGTGACATTTGATCTGCCCCAGTGGAATCTGGAGAAGGGAAGTGGAGACTGAGTTTGTGGTGAATGAAAATCTCAGCCAGTTGCGCTCCCAACTGCGGTTTCGCGGGAATCACTTCAATCGGGAAAAATGACGTTTTTCTGGGAGGTTCAGGGTGGTCCTCTTTCAAAGGGAGACTGAAGGTGGCTTGGTGCTGCACGGATCTGATTCTGACCAGCTAATCCTGCTGTAGGCGCTCCCTCAGCTAAAACTGAGCAATGCAGTCCCTGGCTAGGGCTATCAAAGAGAAGCATTTTTCTGTGTTTTGGGTATATACGTATGCCAGAGCCACAAATACCCAACACTTGTGCAGCCCTTACTGTGTGTGTGCCAGGCTCTGAGTGCTTTATACCAATTAACTCATCCAGTTCTCACTCCTACAAGGTGAGTGGTATTGCTATCCCCGTTTCATAGATGGAGAAAACAAGAGACAAGGGGAGGCCATATGACTGCCTGAGGTCCCCCAGCTGGTAGGTGGCAGAGCTGGGTTGGAATGCAGGCCGTTTGGCTCCAGAGATCTGCTCATAACCCTCTCCCTGCTTCTCAGGTATAGAGGCTAAGGATGGGGCTGGAGCTGGAAGCATGGAGCTGTGAGGACGGAGGGAAAACATCCTTTCCTGTTTTGACCTTGGTCAAAGGAAGGAACCACTAGCCTGGAAGCCTAGAGATCCCAGAGTCCGCCATCCTGACCCAGGTCTGCGACTGTTG